ACCCTTCTTCCTCTTCTTTACCCTCTCTCTCCTCTTTCTAACTCTTTTCCTCTTCTTACCCTCTCTTCTCTTTTCCCTTTCCCCCTCCTCTTCCTTCACTCTCTCATCCCTATCCTTTCCCTCTCTCTCCCTCTTACCCTCTTCCTCTTCCCACTTCCCCTACCCTCTCTCCTCCTCTCCTCCTACCTCCTTCCTCTTCTCTACCCTACCCTTCCCCTCTTCCTTTACCTCTCTTTTCCCTCTTCCCTTAACCCTCTCCTTCCCTCTTCCTCTACCCCCTCTCTTCCTCTTCCTCTACCCTCTCTCTCCCTCTTCCTTACCCTCCTTCCTCCTTCCCTCTCTCTTCCTCTTTTTTACCCTCCTCTTCCTCCCTCTACCCCCTCTCTCCCTTTCCTTCCCCTCTCTTTTCCCCTTTTCCTTCCCCTCTCTTTTCCTTTTCCCTTCCCCCCCCTCCCTCTCCCTTCTTTCCTTTCCTCTACCCTCTCCTCCTCTTCCCTCCCCCTCTCTCTTCTCTTCCTTACCCTCTTTTCCTCTTCCTCTACCCTTCCTTCCTCTTCCTTACCCCTCTCTTCCTTTCCCTCTACCCCCTCTCCTTTTCCTTCCCTCTTTTTTACCCCCCCTCTCCTTCCTTTTCCCTTAAACCCTTCTCTTTTCCTCCCCCTTCTTTCCCTTTCCTCTCCCTCTTCCCCTTCCTTTCCCCTCTTTTTCCCCTTTCCTTACCCTCTTCTTCCTCCCTTACCCTCTCTTTCCTCTTCCTCTACCCCTCTCTTCCCCCTCTACCCCCCTTTTTCCTCTTCCTCTACCCCTTTTCCTTTCCCTCTAACCTTTTTTAACCTCCCTCTTCTTCCCTTTTCCTCTACCTTCTTTCCTCTTCCTTCCCCTCTCTCTTCCTTTTCCCTTTTCCCCCCTCTCTCTTCCTCTTATTTACCCTCTCTTTTCCCTTTTCCCTTCCCCTCTCTTCCTCTTCCTTACCCTCTCTCTTCCTTTTCCCTTTTCCCCTCTCTCTTCCTCCCCTTTAAACCCTCTTTTTCCCTTTTCCTACCCCTCTCTTCCCTTCTCTACCTCTCTCTTCCTTTTTTTCTCCCCTCTTCTCCCTCTTCCTCTACCCCTCTCCCCCTTTTCCCCCTACCCTTTCCTCTTCTTTTCCCTTTAAACCTCTTTTCTTTCCCCCCCTTCTTTCTTTTCCCTTTCCCTTCCTTTCCTTTACCCTCTCTCTTCCTCTACCCCCTCTTTTCCCCTTTCCTCTCCCCTCTCTCTTCCTTTTCCTTACCCTTCTCTTCCTTTTCCCCTTTACCCTCTCCCCTCTTCCTTTCCTCTCCTCCTCTTCCTCTACCCTCTCTTTTCCTCCCCCTCCCTCTCCTCCTTTCCCCTCGACCTTTTCCCTTTTCCTCCCCCTTCTCTTCCCTTTTTTACCCCTCTTTCCTCTTCCTTTCCCCCTCTCCCTCTTCCTTTTCCCCCCCTTCCTTTTCCTCTACCTCTCTCTTCCTTTTCCTTCCCCTTTTTCCCCCTTTTCCTCCTCTTCCTTTTCTTTACCCTTCCCCCCTTTTTTCCTCTCCCCCCCCTCCCTCATCTCTTTTTTCCCTTTCCCCCTCTCCCTCCTTTTCCTCTACCCTCTTTTTCTCTCCTCTACCTCTTTTCTTCTTCCTCTACCCTTTTCCTTCCTTTTCCCTCTACCCTCTCTCTCCTTTACCCTCTCTCTCCCTCTTCCTCTACCCTCTCTCTTCCTCTTCCTCTACCCTCTCTCTTCCTCTTCCTCTACCCTCTCTCTTCCTCTTCCTCTACCCTCTCTCTTCCCCTCCTCCTGCTTCTCTCTCTCTTCTCTTCCTCCTTCTTCTTCTCTTCTCTTGCTTCTCCTCTGTTATCAACGTGACGTTTACTATTTCCCTGCAATTTATCGCAACATTTCTCTGGTTGATTCTTGCAGCATCAAACATCAATATATTTTTTGGTTGCATTTTTATGTAGAAATTTATTCTCGTCTGCTGCAAGAAGTTTATTGGTGGGCGTGATGTTTAGTAATGGGCGTGATGCTTAGTGGTGGGCGTGATGCTTAGTGGTGGCCGTGATGCTTAGTGGTGGGGGTGATGCTTAGTGGTGGGCGTGATGCTTAATGGTGGGCGTGATGTTTAGTGGTGGGCGTGATGTTTAGTGGTGGGCGTGATGTTTAGTAATGGGCATGATGCTTAGTGGTGGCCGTGATGCTTAGTGGTGGGGGTGATGCTTAGTGGTGGGCGTGATGTTTAGTAATGGGCGTGATGCTTAGTGGTGGGCGTGATGTTTAGTGGTAGGCGTGATGTTTAGTGGTGGGCGTGATGTTTAGTAATGGGCGTGATGCTTAGTGGTGGGCGTGATGTTTAGTGGTGGGCGTGATGTTTAGTGGTGGGCGTGATGTTTAGTGGTGGGCGTGATGTTTAGTGGTGGGCATGATGTTTAGTGGTGGGCGTGATGATTAGTGGTGGGCGTGATGCTTAGTGGTGGGCGTGATGCTTAGTAATGGCCGTGATGTTTAGTGGTAGGCATTATGTTTAGTGGTGGGCGTGATGTTTAGTGGTAGGCATGATGTTTAGCGGTGGGCATGATGTTTAGTAATGGACGTGATGCTTAGTGGTGGGCGTGATGTTTAGTGGTGGGTATGATGTTTAGTGGTGGGCGTGATGTTTAGTGGTAGGCATGATGTTTAGTGGTGGGCATGATGTTTAGTGGTGGGCGTAATGTTTAGTGGTGGGCGTGATGTTTAGTGGTGGCCGTGATGTTTAGTGGTGGGCGTGATGTTTAGTGATGGGTATGATGTTTAGTCGTGGGCGTAATGTTTAGTGGTGGGCGTGATGTTTAGTGGTGGGCATGATGTTTAGTGGTGTGCGTGACTTTTAGTGGTAGGCATGATTAGTGGTGGGCGTGATGTTTAGTGTTGGGCGTGATGTTTAGTGGTGGGCGTGATGTTTAGTGGTAGGCATGATGTTTAGTGGTGGGCATGATGTTTAGTGGTAGGCATGATGTTTAGTGGTGGGCGTGATGTTTAGTGGTAGGCATGATGTTTAGTGGTGGGCGTGATGTTTAGTGGTAAGCATGATGTTTAGTGGTGGGCATGATGTTAGTTGTGGCGTAATGTTTATGGTGGGGGCGTGATGTTTAGTGGTGGGCGTAATGTTTATTGGTGGGCATGATGTTTACTGGTGGGCGTAATATTTAGTGGTGGCATGATGTTTAGTGGTGGGCGTAATGTTTAGTAGTGGGCGTAATGTTTAGTGGTAGGCGAATGTTTAGTGGTGGGCATGATGTTTAGTGGTGGGCATGATGTTAAGTGTTGGGCGTAATGTTTAGTGGTGGGCGTGATGTTTAGTGGTAGGCATGATGTTTTAGTGGTGGGCATGATGTTTAGTGGTGGGCGTAATGTTTAGTGGGGGCGTGATGTTTAGTGGTTGGCGTGATGTTTAGTAGTGGGTATGATGTTTAGTGGTGGCGTGATGTTTAGTGGTGGGCATGATGTTTTAGTGGTGGGTATTATGTTTAGTGGTGGGCGTGATGTTTAGTGGTGGGCATGATATTTAGTGGTGGTATTATGTTTAGTGGTGGGCGTGATGTTTAGTGGTGGGGATGATATTTAGTGGTGGGTATTATGTTTAGTGGTGGCGTGATGTTTAGTGATGGGCATGATATTTAGTGGTGGGTATTATGTTTAGTGGTGGGCGTGATGTTTAGTGGTGGGCATGATATTTAGTGGTGGGCGTGATGTTTAGTGGTGGGCGTGATGTTTAGTGGTGGGCATGATGTTTAGTGGTGGGCGTCATGTTTAGTGGTGGGCGTGATGTTTAGTGGTGGGCGTGATGTTTAGTGGTGGGCATGATGTTTGGTGGTGGGCATGATGTTTAGTGGTGGGCATGATATTTAGTGGTGTGTATGATGTTTAATGGTGGGCGTGATATTTAGTGGTGGGCGTGATGTTTAATGGTGGGCGTGATGTTTAGTAATTAAATGACCATTTCTTATTTAGTCTTTGGAAAGAAAAGTCATTTTCTTACAGTGGTCTTGAGGGCACACAGGTTATGGACACACGATATATAAACTCTGAATCTGCACGAAAAATGCATACCAGTCAGGTCACCTATTGAAGTGTATAACACGTGACTTGCACTTACTTACCTTTGAGTTATTCGTTTTGGACTTAAGATGTATATGTACAACTGCGTCTTGAACTTCAAGTTGTGTGGCTGAAGAACACACAAGTGCTTGGGAACATGTATATACCCTTAGGGGTGTGTGTAGTGTACTTTAGAAATGGACATTTCGTATATACATTCTCAATTATAAGACAATGTTTATAATAATAATAATAATAATAATAATAATAATAATAATAATAATAATAATAATAATAATAATAATAATAATAATAATAATATTATTATTATTATTATTATTTCTATCATTATTATTATTATATTGTTATTATTATTATTATTCAAAAAATATAAACGATAAAAATATTTAACAAATGCGTAAATATAAAACCAGAGGCCAAAATATATCCTCATTATTTCTTGTTTCGTTTGTCAGTAAGTTGGTTCTCTGTTCCACATTCGCTGAAAAAAAATAATTATATACACAGAGCATAAATTTGAATGTATAATTGTTCGTTCTACATGTCGATGACAAATCTGTATGGTTGTATACGTATTCTATGGATATTATACATAATGGAAACATCAGGTACCAATATGTTTGTTTTGTATATATGTATAGCTCAACCATGACACTTACCTTAATTATACCTATATATATATATATATATATATATATATATATATATATATATATATATATATATATATATATATATATATATATATATATTGATTTGTTGGGTGTGAATGAGTCTGGAGACAGGAGTGTGGGCGTGGAAGGTGTGAAGGTGTTGAGGTGGGTGTGTGGGAGTAGAGGCAGGTCTGTAGGTGTGGAAGCAGGTGTGTGGGTTTATAATCACGGTGGAGATGAGTACACACCTGTCGTGAAGAGGACCTTCGATAGTCGAGCACGGAGGGGTGAGGTTGAGGGTCTTGGTGATGCTGGTGGTGCTGTTGGTGGTGCTGCTGGTGGTGGTGGTGCTGTTGTTGGTACTGCTGCTGCTGCTGCTGCTGCTGCTGCTGCTGCTGCTGCTCATGTTGGTGGTGGTGTTGCTGTTGTTGCTGGTGCTGCTGATGTTGGTGGTGGTGTTGTTGCTGCTGCTGTTCGTGTTGCTGCTGCTGTTGCTGCTGATGTTGCTGTTGTTGTTGCTGTTGCTGCTGCTGTCGGCTCCGCTGAGGAAGGAGACATATTTCCATGTTCGGTTTATAATTTACAAAGGACGCTAAAAGATGTTGTATACTGCTCTTCCTCAAGTGCTGGAATCCACTAGGCACTCTACAACGAGGTTAGTCACCACATAACATCTACCACTACTAATTGTCTCTGCCTTTAACAGGGTTAGTTAAACATAACATCTACCACCACTAACTGTATCTGCCTTGAACAGGGTTAGTTAAACATAACATCAACCACCACTAACTGTATCTGCCTTTAACAGGGTTAGTTACCACATAAAATCAACCACCACTAACTGTATCTGCCTTTAACAGGGTTAGTTACCACATAACATCTACCACCACTAACTGTATCTGCCTTTAACAGGGTTAGTTACCACATAAAATCAACCACCACTAACTGTATCTGCCTTTAACAGGGTTAGTTACCACATAACATCAACCACCACTAACTGTATCTGCCTTTAACAGGGTTAGTTTCCACATAACATCAACCGCCACTAACTGTATCTGCCTTTAACAGGGTTAGTTACCACATAACATCAACCACCACTAACTGTATCTGCCTTTAACAGGGTTAGTTACCACATAACATCAACCACCACTAACTGTATCTGCCTTTAACAGGGTTAGTTTCCGCATAACTTCAACCGCCACTAACTGTATCTGCCTTTAACAGGGTTAGTTTCCACATAACATCAACCACCACTAACTGTAGCTGCCTTTAACAGGGATAGTTACCACATAACATCAACCACCACTAACTGTATCTGCCTTTAACAGGGTTAGTTTCCACATAACATCAACCGCCACTAACTGTAGCTGTCTATAAGTGCTAGGTGCCACATAATATCAACCAACACCAACTGTTGCTGCGTCTACAGTTTATTTGCCAAACCAGTTCTTCTCAATTCCCTTTCTAAATCTAAATTTGTCCGTTTTGAATCTATTCCTCATATGAGGAGAGGAAACTCTCCAATACTTTTCAGTCCGTCGTGGACCATCATCAAGTCACAACTAAACTAGAAAACAATTAGAGAATCAGAAGAGAGAAGGTCATGTAATGAAAGTATCAGAAAATAGGTCAGAAGATGACCTGTGTTCCGGTATTGTAATCACCTGACCTCTCTTGTGACTTTCTCCATACCTCCTCACCTGACCTCTCTTGTGACTTTCTCCATACCTCCTCACCTGACCTCTCTTGTGACTTTCTCCATACCTCCTCACCTGACCTCGCTTGCGACTGTCTTCATACCTCCTCACCTGACCATTCTTGTGACTGTCTCCATACCTACTCACCTGACCTCGCTTGTGACTTTCTTCACACCTCCTCACCTGACCTCGCTTGCGACTGTCTTCATACCTCCTCACCTGACCTCTCTTGTGACTTTCTCCATACCTCCTCACCTGACCTCGCTTGTGACTTTCTTCATACCTCCTCACCTGACCTCGCTTGTGACTTTCTTCATACCTCCTCACCTGACCTTTCTTGTGACTGTCTCCATATCTCCTCACCTGACCTCTCTTGTGACTTGCTTCAGGACGGACCCAAACGTCAAATTAAACTTCTTCTCTAAAGAGGGAGCTATTTGCAAATTGCTCCAGCCACGGAACTAAGACCTTTTTTTCTTTATGAATATAAAGCTAAACACAAAAATGCAATACTGGTCAGTGATACAAACGACGATAAAACAGAAAATAAGTAAAGTATATGTCGACCTCACAGCGAGGCCTTCCTCAGCTGAAGAGATCCTCGGTGTGATGCCGAAATATACACTACATTCCATGCCTTGCCGTCTGTTTAATTAACTGTCTCTATGTTTTTGTGTCATGAATATATATATATATATATATATATATATATATATATATATATATATATATATATATATATATATATATACACACAAACACTGATCTCTGGCAGAAGGAGACTCGAACCTACGAACCTTAGGACAAGGTACGCAGTGCTTTACCAATCTACCCACACTGGACCAATACCTTGGAGTGTAGCATGCGCTACACGTTTGATCCAAGGCAGCCAGCTTTCAGGGAGAAGGCTTACAGCTTTTCATCTCATCCCCTGCATGCATCAGCCTTACTAGAGATGAGATGAAAAGCTGTAAGCCTTCTCCCTGAAAGCTGGCTGCCTTGGATCAAACGTGTAGCGCATGCTACACGCCAAGGTATTGGTCCAGTGTGGGTAGATTGGTAAAGCACTGCGTACCTTGTCCTAAGGTTCGTAGGTTCGAGTCTCCTTCAGCCAGAGATCAGTGTTTGTGTATATTTCGCATGCTCTCGCGAATTCCTTGCATATATATATATATATATATATATATATATATATATATATATATATATATATATATATATATATATATATATATGCTAATCAGGATTTAACTTATTTTAAACATTACAACACGTTTAAATAACAAGTTAACAAATCTGTCAATATATTGTCAACCAATTGCTGGAAATTAAAATGGGTTGTACCTATTCTAAATGTATATACATTCATATATATATATATATGTATATTCACATATTTACATCTGAGTGACAGTGACAACGTGGGGCTCGAAGTGCACTAACATAGCAGGAATGTGACACTTGATAAGCTGTACAATCATTGGGTAAGTATAACAAGCGATACATATATACACTTATAACAGCTGGCATTCACTCTCATATAGTACTTATAATTCAAGCTACAATATATATATATATATATATATATATATATATATATATATATATATATATATATATATATATATATATATATATATATATATATATATATATATATAAAATATATGTCGTGCCGAATATGTAAAACTGGTCAATTAGCAAGAACTCATTTAAAATTAAGTCCGTTCTAAAATTTTCTCTTATACGTTTAAAGATATATTTTTTTCATTAATGTTAATGTAAAAAATTATAATTTTGCACCAAAAGAATCTTAGAAAACTTACCTAACCTTATTATAGCAAGAACAATTTATTTTAGCCTAACCCAACTAAATATATTTTAGATTTTTTACAGTAATTTAATACTAAACAAACACAGTGACATATATTTTTTTCGTTAGGTTCAGAATGATTTTGGCGAAATTATTACATACACAAATTTTCACTTGTCCTATGTGGCAAGATGAACGTTGTTATTTAAGCCAAGATCGCAAATTCTGCCTATTCGGCACGACATATATATATATATATATATATATATATATATATATATATATATATATATATATATATATATATATATATATATATATATATATACATATATATGTCGTGCCGATTAGGCAGAACTTACATTCTTGGCTTAAATAGCAACGCTCATCTTGTCATATAGGACAAGCGAAAATTTGTGTATGCAATAATTTTGCCAAAATCATTCTGAACCTAACGAAAAAAAAATATTTCACTGTGTTTGTTTAGTATTAAATTACTGTAAACAAATCTAAAATATATTTAGTTTGGTTAGGCTAAAATAAATTGCTCTTGTTATAATAAGGTTAGGTAAGTTTTCTAAGATTCTTTTGGTGCAAAATTAAAATTTTTTACATTAACATTAATGAAAAAAATATATCTGTAAGCGTATAAGAGAAAATTTTAGAAAGGACTTAATTTTGAATGAGCTCTTACTAACTGACCAGTTTTACATATTCGGCACGACATATATATATATATATATATATATGTGTGTGTGTGTGTGTGTGTGTGTGTGTGTGTGTGTGTGTGTGTGTGTGTGTGTGTGTGTGTGTGTGTGTGTGTGTGTGTGTCTTACAGAATAGCAGTAAGCATTATACTAGTACAAAAGTATACATTGTGCTTGGCTACATTATACATACTATGTTGCACAAATGAAGCTGACATAACATATACAGCGATGAAGCATACAATATATACATTTTCAATACATTTACAGAATTTATAATGTTTATTGTCGGGGTTCAGGATTAACATATTTATCCCATGCATTATTTAAAAAGAATATTGGGTTCAATTAATAATAACTGTAGCGTGCAGTTGGTATTTAAACACGATTTACACTAAAGATAAATACACTGTAGAACAAACGTTTATTGTGAAAACGTTTCGCTCTATGTTCAGCTTTGTTGAACCTTGATCTGACAAAGCTCTAAACAGAGCTCTTTCCACCACTCATCTTTTCTTCAGTATTGACCAGTGAAATCAATGAATTAAATTAATATCGGTGACTAATTTTACGAAGAACCTTCTCTCTGGTTCCTGTCGATACATTCCTGCCTAGGGTATACATCTCTGCCTGTGCGTTACTACCTATACATTCCCCACTATACATCTGGCTAGACGTGACCAAACCATGGCTTGCCAGCCGCTACTACTCACTGAGTGCGGCTGGCCAGACGGTATCTACCGACGGTTTTCTTCCTGTTCTTACGTCACTGCTCAAGTAACGTTCTCGCGTCACTGTTCTAGTAACGTTCTCGCGTCACCGCTCTGGTAATGTTCTCCCGTAACTGCTCTGGTAATGTTCTCGCGTCACCGCTCTGGATGTGTTTCAAGTGTTGGCCAACATAAATAGGATCTATAGATTTTTATGTACGTTAGCTACAAATCTAGAGACTTTTGAAAATGCACTATTTAATTATTTGTTCACTGTAAAGGTGATTAAACCCTTGCTAATGCAATTTGTTTATTGCACACTTAGTTAAATACGTGTTAATGTTCATTGTTTATGGTAGACTTGATAAATAACTCCCCTGCTTATGTTGATTGTTTAATGCACACTTGATAAATATCCATAATTATGTTGTTTGTTTATGGTTCACCTGATAAATAACCCATATTTTATGCTATTTGTTAGTGGTACACTTGATAAATAACCAATGTTTATAGTGTCTTCTCATTGTACACTTAATAATTATCCCTGCTTATGTTTTAATTGTTTTTTTTTCAAAGTAATCTTCATTAATTACCTCACTTTAAGGAAAGAATTTTCCCTTTAAAAAATCTCTCCCTTCCAGGCTCAAAATCCTCCCTTTAAGGGCTAAAATCCTCTCTTTAGGGGCTACAGTCTCACTATAAG